TATATATATCAGAAGCCCGTTGCACGAAGATTCGCACAATATGGCCGTTCCTTCCCCTGGCTGCCAGTACAGGTTTTCCTCCGGCACCCGGGACCCAGGCCTTTGGTCGGGCCACAGTGAGGCTTGGCTTCTCCGCTGAGGCTGCAGCGGAGAAGCCAAGCCTCTTCAGTCTTCAGTCTTCAGTCTTCACTCCGGCTGGAGCCTTCAGGCTTCGCTCTGCCCCTGCGTATGCAAATTAACTGCCATCTTTGTTGGCGGTTAATTGCATATCTTGCTGATTAGCCAGTGGGAGGCGTAGCGAAGGTATGGCCAATTACCCTGTTTGTCTATTATTATGATTAGATATATATTACAGATTGATATTAGGATTAAATGAGATAGCATCTTTATTTTTAAATTTTCATACAATCTCTGTGATTTGATCAGTCTGGTAGTTGAGCATTTGATTGACAAAGCTGATTAAAGCATGAAATCATACCTTATACATTGAATATTTTACTTCAAGACATATTAATATCTTTTACTTTTACTCACCAAATGTTTGGTGTAAGAACAAGGCCATTTGTTTTGCTTTGTGAAACAGGTTTGCATATAGTTTCACTATTTGAAATTTTACCTGAAAATTTTGCATCAAACATATCTATAATGTATAATTTATAACGTCCAGTTTTGTTTCACATTAAGTGAAGCAACAGACTTCCATTTTTTAGAGAGTAAGGTGAGATTCTCACTTTTTTTCTTCAGAATCCACAAAAGCAACAAATAGAGAAACAGAAACACACATTTTTTTGACAAAATCAGACAGCATGTTAAATCTCAAACCATGGGTTTTGTGAAGTGCAATGAAGGTAAAGAGGGATGCATAAGGATGCCAAGAGAACATGCCTAGGGTTACAGATCAACAACAAAACCAACATAATACAGTTCTCTGAAGTAGCATATCCTGAGTAGCAAAATCAACAATTCTTGGTTTAGGTGGTGCTTCCAGTCTGGCATAAATGAGAAACAGAATATTGGAGAACCTAAGAATCACACTGAAACACCATGTTTGTAGGGAGCAGTGTGCTGGTGAGGCAGGATCAAACAAAGATTGTGTGTTGTCCCATAACTGCTGATCTCAGATGGCCAGAGCAAAGTAAACACTGAAGACTAACTTACACACACCATTTTGGGAGATGAGAATTCTTTCTGGCTTGAAGTGCAGGCCTGGATCCAATATACTCTAGTGCAGAAACTTGGTTCAGGGGTATGCATTTGAGTCAAAGATGGGCAAAGTTTTAAAAGGATCTTTATTGGAAAGCTACACTAAAAATTGGATGAGGCAAAGCCTCACTTTTTTCACTGTTACACTTTTGTATTTTTTAAATTCAAAAGAAATTTAGTACAATAAGAAAAGGAATAGAGGCTTTGCAAAAATAACAAATTTATTTCTACATTTGCAAAGAAATGAGTACGAAGCTTTTCAGATTTTTTACTCTTTTTGTCCATTCTTCATTTGTTTTGACAACAGTTTCCTCTGGTGACTCTCTTTTATCATGCCTTTCACAGAAGCACTCAACTTATAGAAACAACTTTTTGCATTCATATTTCATTGATTACATAAAATGTATATTATTTTATTACAATAATATAACTAGCATAACAAGTGTAGAAACAAATACAGTTGACTCAGTAAGCATAAAGCTCAACTGTTGAAAACTGAAACATGTAGGTGATCTAGAAAGTGACCTAACCACAAAGGTTCACTGGACTATGGGTATCAATGTTTTAGAGAAAGAAAAATCAAAAAGTAATGCTTGTTCATAGATTAACTTAGTTGATTTTAGAGGAAATAACAAATATGAATTTATGTCATTATTGTGTTTCTATTATTTTGCATTATTTTCTCTAGAATGTGTAGTTTTAGACAGTGTTTTAAATTTTAATTTTATTCAAAAAATGTTTATTGAGCTCCTACTATGTGCCCCTAGCATAAAAACAAGTCAGAGCAAATATTTCATCACTACTGGTTGAAATTAAACAATATTAATAGGATGTTATTTGTAATTTTATTTGTGATATGCTAATTAACCTATATTGATACAGCAGAGTTAAGCAAAAAGAATTTAGATTTATATTGACTTGCTTCATGAATATCCGCAGAGCTCTTCAGACACCTTTACATTTGTTATGTTTATTTTACTTTTGGGTGTGTTTGATAAGAAAAAAATGTTAATTATTGTTAAATGTATTGTTGTTGTTTTATCTTGAAGCTGCCGGAAAAAATGATAATGGACTACTATGAGAAGTATAAGCCTAGAATGAATGAGCTGGAAGCTTTTAATATGGTAAATCTCAGAATTAAACATATTAAATTGGGTTTGTTGCTAGACTTGAATAGGATCCTATTAAATTTTATTGTGGGGCCAAACAATCTATGTTGTTTTTCTCTTATTATAGAAAAACCGTTTGGGATCACTTCCTATTTCAGAACTATATTAGGTGTCAGTAATGTAATAAAGAGAACACATGGTAGATTTCTCTTAAAGTGTATTATAAATGCACAGAAAGAAGTTTCCGAGTTCTTTGAACACATATTGCTCTCAATTCTGTTATTTCACAAGCATTCCTTTTAATGAATTTCATTCTTAGTGCCCATTTAAAAGCTTTCCATCACATATGTATGATGGCTTTTGGATTCTACCTCAAAGTCACTTAAAGGACATTCTTTTCCTATTATTAAAGAAAACTTTTGATCTCTGCAATATTCATTTTCTGTAGATGTACAATGGGTATTGAAGATTTGGCCATATACAAACTTCTATAGATACATTTTTTTAAACATAATATTAAGTTAGTCGGCTAGTCATTTTTTTTTTTCCCTTTTAAGTAACACCATCTTATCTTATTCTTTCCTTTAGTTGAAAGTTGTTCTGGCTCCTTGTATAGAAACATTGATTCTTCTGGATCGACTTTGCTACCTGAAAGAGCAGGTAAGTTGTGTTATTTTTAAATGCATAATAAATATATTTATTAAATCCAGTAATTTGGATCCACTTATATGTAGGATAAATTTCTTTCACATAAAACTTAAGATTAAAACATAAGATAATCTTTCTCATCATATTTTCAAAGTTTAAATATTCACTCCATCTTTTTAAAACATAAACATGTGCATAACAGATGTTTTCAGCAATGCTACCATAATAAAGCTTACATTCTTTTTATTGTATGGTAATTACTATACAGTAGGCAGTGAGCACAAGTTATCATATATGCCATATTGTACAGCTAACAGTAATAAAGACCAGACATAAAAGATATCAGATATATGTTACATTTTGTAAGAATTTGCCTTTTATTTCCCTTTTGAATTTTGGGGCAAATGCACTCTGCAGTCAGAAACTTCTATCTGATCAATGAAGACTGCGTCTGTTTTTTTGTGGTGTTTTTTCCAATCTTATTTATCTATGTTGAATAACTAAAAATATCCTCCTTTTGGCTATCTTAGGGAAAATGTTTTTTGCAGATTTTACTCAGCTTTGATCAAAATAAAGTTTTGTGAACTGTTTAAATTAAACCCATTTGTGGACTCAGGCTGTGTTTCCACTATATAAACCCTTTATTTTAACAATTCTGTTTTATCATATGGGGAGCTTTGCTTTCTTCTTTTCAACAGGCTACTTAGGACAAATGGATTTTAATAAATGTTTGCTTTTGTTCTAATTTGTATTTATATGGAGGAAGGCAGTTTTTGAGTATTTAGAAAATGATGTGTTTTCCTAAGCTACTAACTCAAAAAGTACTCAAAGCTTTGAATCAGTCCTACTTTACTCATCATTTCCCTTTTCAAAACAATTTTTATTGACTTAAGTATAATAGGCAATAAAAATGGTATGCACAAAGATTAATAGACTGGTAATGAGATAATAGAAATCATATAAATATTAATTTGTTAATATTTTTAATAATACCTTATAAAATTAATGCATATTTATTTTAGAATTTAAAATGAACAATATAAAAAAGAAAATTAAAAGTAACAATAATGCAACCTTTAAGCACTAACTATTAAATTTTTCGTTTGTTTTTTAGTGCTTCTCTCTAATATATATATACGTATATATATTGGCATATATATGTGCACATAGTTTATACTTTATTTAAAATTGAAATCAAATTATAAATGCTATTTGCATCTAATTTGTTTCATTTATTTAATTTAAAAATGTTCCATCTCATTAAATTTACTACAGAAGCTGAATAATGTTTCATCATATAATAATTTAAGTAATACCCAATTGTTATTGGCAAGTTTCAGTTTTTCACAATCACAGCAAAGAGTAACCTTGTAGTTCACTCTCTATGTACCTCTTTAATTGTTTTCTCAGCGTAAATTCCTGAAAGTAAAATTGTGAATGTTAACTTTATTGAACAAAGAATCGTTTTATTTTATATGGTTTGCTTTTACATAGTTTTTAATATTACATTATATAGCCTAACCGATCTCTCGTTTTTACCTTCAACAAATGGTTTTATTTCTAAATCCCTTATCAATTTGCAGGAAGATATTGCATGGTCAGCACTTGTGAAGTTGTTTGATCCTGTGAAATCTCCCAGATGTTATGCTGTTATTGCTCTGAAGCAGCAGCAATGATGTCAATAGAAGCAAGGTATTAGATGTATCTGTTTGTGGAACCTATTCCTAATTTTTCTTTTCTAAACATTTATGTCATGTTATGTAAATATTTTTAAAACATTGCCTTCCTTGTATTTGAAATAAACAATAAAATAATAGCTAACAACAGAACACCATAATTCATTTTCTCATTGTCAAAGCATACATTTAATAAAAATAACACATGAAAATATTATAAAAGGATTGATCTACATTCCTGATTTAGCACATCAATAGGACATTGTATTTTGAGTTTTGTTTTCTTTTTTGTTGTTTTTTTTAATCCTCACCCAAGGACATTTTCATTGAATTTAGAGAGAGAGAGAGAGAGAGAGAGAGAGAGAGAGAGAGAGAAACATCGATGTGAGAGAAAAACATCAATTGGTTGCCTCCCATACTCACCCTGACTAGGGATCAAACCCGCAATCTAGGTGTGTGCCCTGGCCTGGGATCAAACCCAAAAGCATTTTGGTGTATGGGATGACGCTCCAACCAAGTTACATGACCTGGCTGAGCCTTGTTTTCTGTTCAATATTTGAGACCTTTGATATTTACTGTATATCACATTTTGCCTTTAATTTATCTTAAAAAAGGAAAGGTATAGGTGTAGGTATAGTAAAATTAGTTGTACTGAAGATTATTTGCCTTTTTCTTCACCTTTTGGAAAGATTTTTCATATTATCAGAAGGTAAAAATCCACATTTAAAGGAAAGAAATGCCCAGAAACCAGGCCAGACATAGAAAGTGACTGATATAAATTATATAAATATTTGTGTTTTAATCTAAGTTACATGATGGGATATTCTATGCCCTTAAAGGAATATGCATCTTATAGTGAGATATTTATTTTTGAGGATTCTTAAGGTTGTTTATCTTAAAATAAAGGGATGGGTTGGCACTTAATGAAATTACTTTGTGCTCTGTAAAAAGCCACTTAGTAAAGCAAGAGTGAGTGAGAGAAGGCCTGCACTATGCCCAGTGTGGTACATGTTTTTTTTATTATCAGAAAACTGGAGGTTTCTAAACACTCAGAAGAGGTGAACAGCTGGAGAGAGTCTTCCTTGTTGCTTAGCTAGAGACTGTATAAAATTCTCCTAACCAGAGAAATAACTGCTTTCTTAAATATTGAACTCTATCCACAGATGAGAAGAATGTTTTGCTTTGAATTTCAATATCAATGAAACTACACAGAACTTCCCTATGTTTTAAAATATTTTTGCAATTTTTAATTAATGTTTTTTAATTTTATTAATCAGAGGCACATGTATGATTCAGGCATCTAATCAACATGAGATGGCCTATATGATCACACTGAGATAATAACATAGCAAAAAGCAAAGAAATATAATACTTTGGTGGGATTGTAATGTGTGTTGATTTTCATCTCATTAAAACTGCTCTTTGAGAACTCATTTTTAGTTGAGCTAGAGAATGTGGTGCATTGGTGGGAGCATCAGTTCTGACAGTTCCTTTCTGGGTGAGCTAATATCTCAGAACCTCTGTTGTAAAGTGGAGTTTCATATAAAATTTATTTTATGAATGCCTGCCATATATCAGAGATTATGGTATGCCCCTGTCCTCAAAGAGACCCCAGTGCCATGAGGAAGAAAGACAATAAAATTACTAATTACAGTAGTTAGAGGTTTAGGGGAGAGTCAGAGAACAGAATTCTTCAGGGATCCTTCAAATTGATTGACTTAGGGCAGTGGTTCTCAACCTTCCTAATGCCGCAACCCTTTAATACAGTTCCTCATGTTGTGGTAACCCCAAACCATAAAATTATTTTCATTGCTACTTCATAACTGTAATTTTGCTACTGTTATGAATCATAATGTAAATATCTGATATGCAGGATGTATTTTCATTGTTACAAATTGAACATAATTAAAGCATATTGATTAATCACAAAAACAATATGTAATTATATATGTGTTTTCCGATGGTCTTAAGCGACCCCTATGAAAGGGTCGTTCGACCCCCAAAGGGGTTGCAACCCACAAGTTGGCGACCCACAGGTTGAGAACCGCTGACTTAGGGGAAGAATGGTGCAGTAATATTAGTGCCATGGTTTAGATTCGTGTGAATTAAATTGTTTTGTGGACTTGGGTCAGTCACTTTATTCAGTGTACCTCAGTTTTCTCATCTCTAAAAGGCACATAGTAATAGAACCTATATTAAAAAGGGTGTTAGGATTAAAAGAATTAAAAATGTTATTAAACGCCCTTAAAATATTGTTAGATAACTGGTTAATAATGCAAAACTATAGTTTACTAGAACTTTCTGCAATGATAGAGGACACTGTCCTGACAATCTTTTTTTAAATATATTTTTATTGAATTCAGAGAGGAACAGAGAGGGAAAGAGAGATTGAAACATCAGTAATGAGAGAGAATCACTGATCAGCTGCCTCCTGCACGTCCCCTACTGGGGACGCAACCCAGGCATGTGCCCTTGATCAGAATCGAACCTGGGACCCTTCAGTCCCCAGGCTGATTCTCTATCCGCTGTGCTAAACCAGCTAGGGCTGCCGTGACAATTTTGACAGTTTCTGATGGGGCAAGTCTGAGGAGGGTATTCATAGAACTTGGGAGTCTGGGCTCAAGTGGTTTAGGTGGAGAACAGACTGGGATTTGGAAAAGTTCATGACACAATAGTTTTATGATTAGTATCTATAGCAAGGCGAGAGTCTGAAGCAAGTCTTGATAAGCAAACTGTTGCTTAGTAAGTGAACTCTTTGCCAAGGTGAGCAGATTGTTTGTCTGAGATAAATGAATATATGGGAATTTCCTGAAACAAATAATGAAGTTATTTAGTAGTTTACAGCTTTATCTTTTTTGGGCAAAGATTTCCTGTAACAAATAAATGAATCATGTTGACACATGTGGTCTCAATTCTTAGACCCCATTGCTCTCTTCTATTGATGCAGGTACTTACAGTTCTCAATGTAAAAGCACTTAATTTCAGACACTGTGCATAATATAAAAGCAATAGCTGTATTTGTTAAGTGCCCTAGAGGGATAGAAATGGAAAATTAACCATATTTATAACATTGACACTGTAGGAAAAAAATATGTTCTAAATCAAACAATGTGGACTTGATTGTTGGATGAAAAGCATTGACTTACATATAATATTACTTGCTGAAATAATCTGTTAAGATTGATGTTTATTCCTAGGGTAATTTCTAACTTAGCATATACTCCACATCTATAAGTATAAATGCAGAGACTTGTACAAAAGGCTTTTCCACACTACATGCATTCAAAAATGGTTCTTTGATTTGTGGGTTTAGCCACTATACATAATTATTATTATTCATATTTATTATTACCCCCTTTCAACCATACATAGTTATTCTAGAGTCTTTGTCATGAGGTATGAAGTTCAATCCTTTCCTATATGGCTATGAGCTAAATTGATTATTTTTTGTTTTGTTTTGTTTTTCCCCTAGGTTTCTGCTGCTCTTCTACATTCTTTAAAGTTTTTTTTCAAAACACATCTAAATATTTTGTTTAAATCTCAACTTTACTTCATTGTTCTAAAGTCATTTAAAAACACCGTTACCATTAATTTTAAAATGACCTGGCATTTAGTGAAGCTGAAAAACAAGTTCCTGTCATAGATAAGCACGGTACTCAGAACCTCCTACAACGACATCAGAATTACAACTAGATTAAAAAACAACTATCATTCAGGACACCTGAAATCTAGCTGAACATAAGTCCTATAAATAAGGGTATTAAGAAGAAGCCACATCCAGTCTGATAGGAGGGGAGGAGATGCAGAACAAGCTGGTCCCACACCCACATGTGGCACCCACATGTGGCATTTAAAAATTGGGAGGGATAGCCCCTACCAGGTAGCTTGGTTGGAGCATCATCCCATACACCAAAAAAAAAAAAGAGGTTGCAAGTTAAATTCCCAGTCAGGAGGCATTGGGAGGCAACCAGTCGATGTTTCACTCTCACATCAATGTTTCTCTTTCTCTCCCCCTTCTTCTCTCTCTGAAATCAATAAAAACATATCCTCTTGTGAGACTAAAAAAAAAATTGCAGCGGTCCCCTCCTAAGGAGTGACTGACTGGTCCTGGCCCCACATCAGAACCCCCACCCCAGGGCTCCAGTGCCAGGAAGAGAAGTCATCATAACTCCAGGCTATAAGAATCAGCATAAATTGTGGCTGAGTGAGATGATGGACTCCTAGAGTCCCAGACATTCCTCTTAAAGGACCAGCACATGGATTTACTCAGACAAAGTTGCTCTGAGCTCCAGTGCTGTGGCAGCAGCTCCAAAGGCACCAGGTACATATGAGGAGGAACCGAATTGTCTGGCTTCAGGATGAGGGCTTGAGTGGTAGCTTTATCTCAGACAGGAGTGCTGGCAGAGGCCATTATTTCCTTGCTGAGCCCCCTCCCCCCCACACAGGGAGTCTGCATCAACCTGGTTCACATTGTTTGCCCCGCCCTATTGATTCCTTGAGACCCTACCCCACCCAACTTGTGTGCCCACCCATGCCATGTCCAGTGGCTTTTCCATATAAATGGCTCTCTTGTCTCATGTTGCAGACTTTTCCTAAAATCTCTCAAAAAAAGCAGCATCTGGCATCTGTGAAACCCTTACCTGGCACTAGTGGCAGACAGCCTCAGTTTGCAGGTTGGCCTCTCCTGGGAACCTCCAAGCCCAGCACAAATAGTAGCCTTCTGAAGGTTGCTCAGTAGCTCATTCTGGGTGGCCCCAGGCATGGCACAGGTGATAGCTGACCTGGCACCTCCCAGAAGGCCTCAGAGCCAGTGCACTCAGTGGACAGCTTCAGACCACACCGGATTACAATCTTACCACCTCCATGAGTGACACACTCAAGGGACAAACTCAGGGGGCAGCATAGCCCCACTGAATCAAGTCCTATTCCATGGGGTCAGCCCCTGCACAGCTACTCTGCTGTATTAACAGATGGTCCTTACAGCTGATTCGCCTGGGGATCAATTTTTCCCAGTGACATGCCAACAGCAATCAAGACTCAACTACAACAGAACAGTGCACACAGCCCACATGGGGTGCACCTGGAGCACCCAACTCAGGTGACCAGGGAGGCTGCACCACTTGGCCTTACAAGACACTATGTAAGACCAC